ACTGCCTGCCTGGTCGCTGCTCCTTACTGCTCGGCTCACTGCTCCTTAGTGCTGCCATGGAGGCAGGAGAGGCTCCCGCTACTGCCACTGTGCTCGCCAGCCGTGAGCCTGTTTCGGGCTGAGCGGCACTCTGGGGAGCACACTGACCACCAGGGGGCAACTCTTGCGCTGAGCGTCTGCCCCCTGGTGGTCAATGCACATCATAGCGACCAGTCGTTCTGCCGATAGTTCCGCCATTTGGTCGATTTGCATATTAGGGTTTTATTATATAGGATATGTGGCTTGATTTAGCCAATCACATGAAGGATTGTTGCCTAAGATCTGAGTTTGCAACTATAAGTTGTATAGGTTTATCTGAAATCTAAATTTAAAAATGGAAAATGATTAAAAGGCTATTTAAGCTGAACCTTAGGTTTTTCTATTTTGTGCACAATAATATTAATAAGAATTCTATTACTATTTCCAATACATTCCTTTGGTGAAGGAAGAAATTTAAATTGGGAGCTTTTGGAGAATTTTGATTGGGGATGTGCTATCACTTGGACTTGGCATTTGCAATTGGAAACAAAAGTTCAGTTGAATGAGCAGTGGACATGCTCTGCAAAGCAAGATGTCAAAGTAGTAAGAGGCCGTTCGAAGAAGCACATAATCCTCTTTGAAGGTCATCACCTGGCTCAACAATACCGCCCACCCTCACCCCCACTCCCCGGCAACTGGACTGCTAGAAATATCCATTGCTTTAAAAAATAAGCAGTTCTTTATTAGGTTAGTCTAATTTCAATGTGTGTATCATCATTTCATAGTGAAGGTAAAAGATAAACGTCACCAGAGAGATTTAATCAAGTATATATAAACCGAGGTGGTTTATATTATTTGTATGCCATGAGAGTTTGGCTCCAGGAATCTACAACTCGCTCTGAATGTGACTGCTTTCTTTTGTGTTATTAAGGTGACTGAACTCATAGCTTAGTTTCCTTCCTTTTCTGCAGTTAGTTGTTAATGTGTGTAGTTTTAAGGAGAGGTTTAAATAAATGCTTTGTCCACTAGAGTCATAAAGGGGCATGCATATATAAATAACCACCTGTGAGTTCCTTGCAGGCAGCGTCCACATCAGACTAGGTTTTAAAAATCCTTACGGCACTTGGTCTTGCATTACATAGGTGTCTAGTAAGTGCCTGTCAAGTAGGCTAAGTGTATACTTGTATCATATAATAAGGCTCAGTTTATATTTGTGCAAACTCTACAACAAATAGGTTGCTGTCCTTTTTTTCTTTATTAAAGGCTATTTTTTAAAGCACTTTTAGGTTCACAGTAAAATTGAGAGCAAAGTACAGAAATGTTTCCATATGCTTCCTGCCCCCACACAAGCATAGCCTCCCACATGATCAACATTCCCCACCAGGGTGGCACATTTGTTACAGCAGATGAACCTACACTGACACATCATAATCACCCAGGGTCTATAGTTTACTTCAGTTCACTGTTGGTGTTGTACATTCTATGGCTTTGGACTGGCAGCTTTTTTATAATGGAAACTTGTTGATTTTGCTTTTAAATTTCATTGGGTTTTGTTTCAGACTCATTATGGAAAATGCTTAATTTTCAAAATGTTTAAATTTCAAAATAATCACGAATTTACAGAAAAATTAGAGCTACAATACAAAGACCTTTTCTTTTCTGAACCATTGGAGGGTGAGTGCTGCCCCATCACCCTGAAATCTTCAGTGTAGATTCTCTTCTACGATCATGGGTAGTCTCCTACGTGACCCCAGCATCACCATCAAAGTCAGAAGATTAACATTGACACACTGCTGCCCTCTAATCCTCAGAGCCTATTCAGGTTTCTCCTATTTTCTCATCACTGTCTCACCTTTATAGTGAAAGGATCCAGTCTGCAATCACACATTGCATTAGCACCCATCTTCTCTTTCTTCTGTTGGAAACAGCTCTTCAATCTTTCTTTGGTTTTCATGAGCCTGACATACTTTGAAGGGTACAGGATAGTTACTCTGTAGAACATCCCTCAGTTTGGATTTATTGCTCCTCTCTCGTGATTTGATTCAGGTTCTACATCTTTGGCAAGAATAACACAGAAGTGGTGCTCCGTTCTCTTTACGCCCTGACAGGTAGTACACAATTTCAGTTTGTCCCCTTAGAGGCGCTGTGCTGTTCCATTGCTTCAGGTAATGTTCGCTGGGCTTCTCTCCTGCCAAGTTACTGCTTTTCGCTTTCTAAGGAATACATCTTCTGTGGGGTGGTATTTTGTAACTATGCAAATATCCCATTTCTCACCCAAGTTTCACTTTATTTATGAAAATGTACGGATTCATAAGTTCCTATTTTATTTGCTCTGTTAAATCTATTTATAAAATTATTTCTCTTCGTGCTGAAATTATCCTGCATTTGGCAGTAGAAACTCATTCAAGCGTGAGTCTGTGCTTTTTTATAGGACTCCATCCATCATTCCTTGAGCACTTCCTTGGTTTCTGGCACAGAAATGTGCTTCAGGCTCATGGCGTGCTTCGCCTGCCCCAACCCTGGAATTAGCCATTGCTCTGAGGAGCCCTGGTTCCATTTAGTGGAGAAGCCAATATCTGGCCCCTAAATGTGTTCATTTCTGCCAACAGGACTGCTCCCAAGCACTCTTAGTGGACAGAGCTAGTGAATATACACTGAGTGGCCAGATTATTATGGCCACCTGACGTTTGTAGGCAAATTAGCTATAATTTTGCGCTGAAGTTGCTAGAGGGCCAGACCATTATAAATAGGGAAGCAGGTTGTTTACCACGACAGTAGAAGTGATTTTTTTCTGAAGATATGGGTAAACAACGCAATTTAACAGCTTTTGAATGTGGGATGATTGTTGGTGCTCAGAGCCATGGAACGAGTATCAGCAAAACATCCGAAGGCCTGTTCGAACACCTTTTCTGTCTGCAGTTACCAAGATAAAACGTCTCCAATTCGCACAGGAACACAAGGATTGGACAGTCAAGCATTGGAAAAAAGTCATGTGGTCCGATGAATCACGTTTCCAGTTCATCATGCAGATGCAGAGTGAGAATTTGGCGGAAACAGCATGAAAGCATGCACTCCACATGCATGAGTACAACCCTTCAAGCTGGTGGGGGCAGTGTTATGGTTTGGGGCATGTTTTCCTGGCATGATTTGGGCCCTTTAATTCGTGTGGAACAATGTCTGAATAGCACAACATACCTAAGTATTGTTGCTGATCAAGTTCATCCTATCATGTTGATGGCGTATCCCAATGGAGATGGCTTCTTCCAACAAGACAATGCACCATGCCATGGTGCTCATATTGTGCAGGAGTGCTTTCAAGAACATGAGGGAGACTTTACCTTGCTTAGGTGGCCCCCACAATCACCAGATCTCAATCCAATTGAGCATTTGTGGGATGAAGTTAAAAGAACCATCAGGCAGCTGGTTCCACAACCATCAAATCTCACAGAACTGGGCGGTGCTATTCATCAGGCATGGTGTCAGATTCCTCGCATCACCTTTCAACATCTCTTGGAGTCAATGCCAAGAAGAATCGCCGCAGTATTGAAGGCAAAAGGTGGCCCAACGAAGTCATAATAATCTGGCCACTCAGTGTAGATGCAAACACACATGTTTACACACACTTTGTTTATATTTATTCTATATCTATCTATAGGTTGAAAATCATGAGTTCATACTAATTTCTCCACTTCCAATCCAACCCCATAGGTTTATTCTACTTTTCTCCCGTTATGTATTTCTAATTCACACCTCCCTTTTGTGATAATGAAAAAACATGTAAACTGTAAACTGAATTGTTTCTCCAAAAATCCATATGTTGAAGCCCTAACCCCTACACAATGGCATTTGCTGACAGGCCTTTGGGAGCTGAATAGGTTGGGGTGAGGTCAGGGAGGTGGTACCCTCCTGACGGATTTAGTGCCCGCAGTGCCCAGACTCCCCACCAGGTGAAGGCACAGAAGCCAGGAAGAGCCCCTCCCCCACTTCCCCACCCAGCTGGAGCATGCTGACATGCCGATCTCAGCCTCCAGAACCATGAAAATAGAATATTAGGTTGTTTCAGCTACTTCGTCTATGGTATTTCATTATGGCAGCCCAAGCTGACTAATACACGTGGTTTCCATTACTCTTAATATACTTAGTTATCTGACCATTCTCCCTCATTTAGGTTCCAAGCCTCCACACTGAGCCACCCTTCCATGGGGACAACCTCCTCAGCTTACTTGGGCTCTGACAACCCATTCTGGGATGTCATTATCATGTCTCACTCCCCCCCACCCCACACGCACACACATACTGTGAAATTCTACTTTTGTCTTCTTCACCTAATGGCTTTGGGACCAATTGTTCAGGAAGAGAAGGAAATAGATTTCTGTAGTTCCCTAAATTATCACTTGATCATTTGAAGAGATGAACTTTATCAAATGAAAGTCTGAAAAGTGTTTTCTAATCACATATTTGAAGCTGGAAGGAGCCTTAAAGGTAATCGAATTCAACCATCTTATTTTATTTAATAATTATTCAATTTCTAGGGGTAAGTTTTCTTACTTTGACTAAAGAGAAATTGAGTCTTATTAAATAAAACAAAAAACTTTTGGCCCACCTGGTGTGGCTCAGTGGTTGAGCTTCAACCTATGAACCAGAAGGTCACTGTTCAATTCCTGGTTGGGGCACATGATTCCCAGTGTGTGGTGTGCAGGAGGCAGCCGATCAATGATTCTCTCTCATCATTGATGTTTCCCTCTCTCTCTCTCTCTCTCCCTTCCTCTCTGAAATCAATAAAAGATTTTTTAAAAAAACTTTTGCATTGGAGCTGTGATTATAAAGAAACTTCTAGAATCAAAACTGCTTTATAGAAACTCCTTTTTATTTATAGAAGGTCCATGGTTACCTGAAATGATGGAAGAACTAATGCTATGTAGCATTTTTAAGTAACCCATGGCTATTTATGTAATTTCTTCATTCCATTCAATGCATTTCTTCTGCCCCTGCTTTGCATTTCTAGCAGAGGGACTTGGAGAAACCAGTGAACTGCATTATAGCTGGAAAATTTGTTTTGTGAGAAGCTAAAGCAGGAAGGGGCACTGGCATTATTCTATAAACTAATATAGAACTAAGAGACACTGAATTAATTTTATTACTGTCCCCCAAAACAGGACATGTGATGTAACAAACACAACAAAACAGGACATGTGATGTAACAAGTGTAAATGCGTTTACAGAGTGATGGGAAAGGAAACTACAATGAGACCGCACAGGAAAATCTAGGCTGCACAGAAACACACATGTGTCTTACTGGGGAACCGTGTAGAGCTGGGTCTACAAAAGAGACTACAGACAAGTATGTGCCCTTAAAGATGAAGCAGATCTAGGGATGGGGTGGCAGAGAGAGAGAGCTAACTCCAGGATAAATAGAGAAAAGCAACAAAGAAGCCAATGCCTCCATGAGCCAGATTTGATTGGGGAAGGGAGGGATTTAGGAAAGTGCAGTCAGAGAACAGAGCCTGCCTGGAGAAATTGAATGGATTTATGACTCTCCGGCCACGAAGTCTTTCAGATGATGCATTTCAGATAGCACTGAGATCAATTGTAAATAGAATAGAAAGCCCAACGGCAGTGACTTAAAGGGATAGGAATGGATTTTTCTTATTAGGAGTTTGGAGGTTAGTGGTTGCTGGCAGTGGTTCAATAGCTCACAAATGTGGGATCAATGTCTGTGATTCTCTTGGCCTTTTCCTTCATGGCTCCAAGGTGGCTATTATAGCTCTAGGCATCACATCTGCATTTAGGACAGGAAGAAAGGAAAAGTGGTGTCTCAAGACGTATTTAATCAATCTGTATCAGAAAAACAAAAGCTTATCCAGAACCCTGCTCCATCGCCACCCTCAGCAGATATCCAACCACTGCACATCAGCTAGAATTTTCACATCATCACTTCTTTCTGCAAGGAAAGCTGGAAAAGTGAGTCAACTTTCCCAGCTCCTATGGTGGAGACAAGCAGGGAAAAGGTGATTAGGAATGGGGGTCGGGGCCAAACAATCTATTTGTCTGCCACGAGAAGATTGATTGATTAGTTGCCATTTACCATTTTGAAGATAAAAGAAGTTTTAGTTGGAGATAGAAAAATTTTTTTAACCCTCCAGTTGGTTACTGAGGCAGACAGGGATGCCTCTATCCCTGAAGATCTTCAAGTTGAGAAATACTCAATATTACATATCTTAGAAGATTTAGACATTCAGTTGCCTAAAGCCTGGATCGGGTGGTTTTTTAGGTCTATGTTATTGGATTCACTATTTCAAAGCTTTACATTTCCTAGCTCTTGAAACACTGTGAAATACAAATCAATACAGAAGGTTACTCCTTTTTCGTCGGTCCTTCTCCCCCCTCCATCCACTTCACTGGAGAAATGCCAATGGCACCTTTTGCTTGTAGAGGTTCTAAGGCTAATGCTGTTTCTCTTAATCAAAACTAGTTTCAGGTATGCCAAGAAAAAAGAAAGCCAGGCCAGTATGGTTCCGTGGTTGAGCATCAACCTATGAACCAGGAGGTCATGGTTCGATCCCTGGTCAGGGCGCATGCCCTGTTTACAGGCTAGAGTCACAGAACTTTCCTAGACATAATATTATACAAGATTATGTGTTATGCTTACCTCTTAAGTAAACACATTTGTGAATTGCTTGGCAATCGTTTGGAGAGCCCAGGGTTTATTTCTGCTTCACATTGCACTGTAGTCTTGGCTGCACAAGGTTCCCTAATGGCAACAACTAACCTTTTCCAGACAAGCCTTCATGCCCTGGGGCAGAGAAGACAATGGCCCATTGTGAACTTACACAAGATGTGCAAATGTGATGCAATTTTGATGTACCAATGGCCTGACCTTCACAAACTCACCAGAGGTTCCGGCTAGCCTAAACCTGTCAGCCAGAAAGCATGAGGAAGATTGAGGTAAATTCCCTTTTCTTAACCACGTTTAAAGATGATCTAAAAGATACTTTCTTCCCCTCTGGTCTTTGAAATGACCACAGTGAGAATTGGTTTCACAATAACCAAACAAATAATCTCTTTCTTTCACACACCTTGATTTTTATTCCATTGCTAGATTAGTTTAGGGAAACATATCTGCTTCTTAGTGCTTCTGTAGAATTTTGATAGCTGAAAGCTCTTGTCACCATGCACCAGGCTCTATGCGAGGTAAACCATAAGTTATCTCAAACTCATTTCATCCATTCAACAGATTTCTACTGAGCACCTGCTTACGAGCTGGTATTCTAAGTGTTGGAGATATATGGTATTGTGAACCCTTCAACATTACAAAGTAATTGTTATTATCTACATTGCAAAAATTAAGAAACTAAGGCCCAGAGAAATAAACAACTTCTCAAGGTCACACAGACCGCCCATGGCAAAGCTGGGTTGAGAGCCAGGTCTTTTTCATTCCATAGTCCACACTTTTTACCCAGTATCTCCCTGCCTTCCTGATATCAGCTGGCCTTATTGTAACGGCCTATCATTGTAAATGCACAGAATCTTTTTGTTGTTTTAGTCCTCAGGATATTTTTCCATTAATTTTGTTTTTAGAGAGAGTGGAAGGTAGGGGGAAAGAGAGAGAAACATCAATGTGAGAGACACACATCACATTGATTGGTTGCCTCCTACATGGGGATGGAGCCTGCAACCCAGAGACATGCCCGTGACCAGAATGGAACCAGGGAGTCTTCAATTTGTGGGCCAACGCTCTAGCCACTGAGCCAAACTTTTTCCATTAATTTTGTTTTTAGAGAGAGTGGAAGGTAGGGGGAAAGAGAGAGAAACATCAATGTGAGAGACACACATCACATTGATTGGTTGCCTCCTACATGGGGATGGAGCCTGCAACCCAGAGACATGCCCGTGACCAGAATGGAACCAGGGAGTCTTCAATTTGTGGGCCAACGCTCTAGCCACTGAGCCAAACAGGCTAGGGCATGAAATCTTTTCTGAGACTACAATGCGTGATCATTTACAATTACTCTGCCAAAACAGTTCATGCTGATGGGATGAGAATTCAAATGGGGACTCTGCCTTTGATAACTTGGTATAAAAGTTCACTCAGTCTTTCCTCCCTAAACCATTTATCTTCAAAATTTGATTTCAGAAACCTTTACATTGTAGGAATGTTAACCCACGCTTCCACTAATTGTCCCCTGGGCTGGCCTGGGCCTGGGAGTTAGGTAGGTCCTGGGAGGAATATCCTCAGAAGGGTGAGGAAAGAACCCGAGTCTGCAGTCAGGAGCTGAGTTTCTGGTCTGCTGCCTGACTTTAAGTTGCTTAAATCCCGAGTGCTCCAAGCATATGGGTGTGAGAAACAAATGAGACACGATCTGAGAGCCGTTTGAAATTGGACAGTAATGTATCAAGGATGACTGTTATCTAGCTCACAAAGCAGAAGGGACTGAAAATTAAAGGCAGCACGAAAGAGCACTTCAGCTCAACTCTCCAAAATCCTAAAAACGTCATTTAATTAAAGACTCCAGGGAGGTGCGATGAAATTAAGCGCTGTCACAGCCCCTCTCTTCCTGGTATCTGAGGCATGAGATTCTGAAGAGTGTTCATTCTCCTTGAGCATAAACACAACCATGGTTAAGAGTGGATCCCTCTTGCCTCCCCAGTCTTCTAAAACCCAAGTATGACGACTTAGCAGAGAAAAATACCAGGTGAGACATCGAGCACAGTTTCTGAATGGAAAGCGTATAGTGGGTCGGAGAAAAGTGGAGGGCAGCCAGTTTCCGCGTGCTTGGTGAGCCCTGAATCACCTCCATGTGCCATGGACCAGAATTACAGAGGCAGGTTTTGAAATGTTCCGAGGCCCAGGGAGGTAGACAGGTAGGAAAGAGGCCAGAATGAGTGGTGTTGCTTTAAAGCCCTAGTAAACGGCATAAGAACCCTCTGATCCGCAGCTCCAGCCGAAAGGCAGGTGCCTCCCCAGGCCATTTGCTCATCTTCCCAAGGCACCTGTCCAAAACCTGGCCTTTATTCCTTCCCCTCCTCAGCCTACTCCACATTTCCAACCAGCTCATTTATCTCCAGGTTTTATGCTGTCGTTTCTAACTTTCTTATAACTCCTACTTGGAGAGATCAGCCCTTAGCCAAAGGCACCCAGAGTCTTCGAGAGACTGCTCTAGAAAGACAGAGCCCTGTAATGCAAAAAAGGAAAACAAGAAAAAAGTGGTGCCAGGAGCGGGTGAGAGGAACTGGGCTTCTGTTCTGGCTTCCTATGACGTCTTAGGCAAGGCTTTTACTTCCCTGAGCAGTTTCCACCTCCGTAAAAGTGAGAATTAGCCTTGTTTGTTTGTTCCATACAAATCGAATGGGATGTTTGTGGAACTGCTTGAATACACTACAAATATAAACAGTCCTGTTCCCACCCCAATGTTCCTATGACAAATGCAGTCATTCAGCCAATGATTATTGAATATTTGGGATGGGCACACGGGGCTGAGGTCTGGAGCTACAACAATAAATCTGGCCTGTTCCCTGAGTTCAGCATGTAAATGGACAATTAAAATATACTCTGCTAAATCTCATAAGTGAACATCAGAAACGTGCCCAGCTCAGATGGAGGGTTTTGCAAGGAGACAGATAACAGAGGAGCTAAATCTGGAAGGATGATAGAATTCACTAGGAAAGGGGGGGGGGCGGCGCGGTAAAGGTCTTTCCAGGGTACAAAAACTGAAAAAATGAGAGCGAGAAAAGGTTAGAGTGTTGCAAGTATCTCAGTATAGCCGGGGCCTAGGGTGACGGGAGTGCGGGCGCTGACCCTGGAGGGTCAGGAGGGAGGCACGCCTTGGGTGGCATGCTGCCCACTCATAGTGATATCTACAGTGCTCATGAGGTGCCAGGTACTTTTCTAGTATATCACATTTATTAACTCTTTTAATTCTGCCAACAACTCATGAAGTCAGTTCTATTATTACCCCTTGCTATGGAAGAGGAAATCGAAGCTCAGAGAAGTTAAGTAATTTGCCCAAGGTTATACAACTGGGGAGTTTGCCAACGAGTTAGGTTTTGCCCTAAGATGACTGAATAGCCACTTAAGATATTTTCAGCAGGTTTGGAGGGGCTGGTTTCGGTTTACTTCTATTTATTCTAGTGCCTGTTTCCAGTCTTTTAAGCAATTTCTTGCCAATTTGCATAAATGATAAAGTATATGTCAATATATCATGTGGAAATTTATGTTATTTGCTTACATAATGATTAACTGTCTCTTGAGTTTATCAATAAAGTAATCCAGTAATTGAAGTCTTCTGGGATGGGGTAGATCATAAATGGAAATTTAGACTTAATGATGGATTATACTTAATGATCAATTAGCTTGGCTAATTTTACTTTTCTTCCTTTTCCCTAACAATCTTTTCTGAGGGATACCTAGAAGAATCAGTAGACTTGAAAAATACAGAAACTCATAAATAAGGCACAATATGTACAAAAGCCTTAAGCTATTTGGACTCCTTTCCTAGTGATTTCATTTGTAAGAATTTATCCTAAGCAGATGCTCAAGCATACTAGGTTACACATGCACAAATAGTGAAGTCCACCTGATACATGGGCACCATGGAACTTTTCCAAACAAATTAAGTCTTATTACCACCAGCTAGCGTTGGTGGGAAGCTCAATCATTTTAAATAGTGAAGTCCACCTGATACATGGGCACCATGGAATTTTTCCAAACAAATTAAGTCTGGCTTATTACCACCAGCTAGGGTTGGTGGGAAGCTCAATCATTTGTCTGAGTCCTGGTTTTCCTCTTTCATCCCTTGGAATTGTGGGGAATCCTTGGGCTTAAATAGTACAAGATTTAGGAAAGGTAGTTCCTAGGAGTTTTGCTCTCTATACTTGATACATATTGGAAAGCCTAGCACCTCTGTTGGTGATAGCAAGCCCTCCAGACCAAACTCAATCACAGGAATATAGAGTAGTTCCAAGACATCCCACAGCCCCCATTCCAAGTTCTGCCACCTCCAGGATGCCACCACCAGCTTCCTGCCACCCCCCCTCCCGAGGATTTCTTCCCTCCTGAGAAATCCCCACCTCGTTCTCAGAGTGAGAATATCCCACCCTTCCTCCTACTTCTAGACTGGCCCTTTTCCCTCATGACTCTAGATGTCCACAGCCTCTAACCCTTCCCTACCTAGAACTCCCAGTCGACTCACCTCCCTGAGCACACACTTGAAAACAAGGGCCTGTTGACTTGCCCCTGGGACCAAGGAAAGTCCAGATGGCCAGGACTCAGAGTCCCCTGCGGGTCGTTGGGGAGAGAAGGAAAGAAAGACTTGTTATTTTATAATGAACCCATGGCCTAGAAAACAAGCCCAGTTTATTCTCAATGTATTCTGCCACATTCAAATTTTAACGTCATTCAATTACACCTATAATAGTGAAAATCTGGAAAAGCTTAAATGTCCCACTAATGGGGTTATATATTGAAATAATATACAGCAATTAAAGGGCTCTGTTTTTAAAAACCATTACAGTGACTTGGAAAGACACTCTTGATATACTTATTTTTAAAAAGTAGGTTGCAAAGCAGAATATGCAATTGAAGTCCACTCTTTAGAATTTATTTACACACACCATACGATTATATCATGGACAATCAGTGCTTGTCTCAAGAATAGTGGAATTGTGATTGAGGTTTATTTTTCTTTGTATGCTCTGTACATTTCCCAATTTCCTTCATTTATTTGCAATACTTTTGTAATGACAGTGCACAGTGCAATGATGGTGTGTGAGGGGGCGGGGGCAAGGAGGATTGGCCCCTTTTCTGTAGTAGTGAACTCACTTCAGTAATGACCTATCTTGACAGACTTATTGTCTGAGAATAAGAAGTTAACTTTCAAAGGGAATAACAATGTGAAAAACAACATATAACATACAGAAGGGGCAGGACAAAAACTTAAACATTTATCAGGACAACTGTACTGTAATATTTCTTTTAAGTTCTGTTTGTTTCTTCTTTAGAAATATAATAAAAGACATAACTATATTTTTATTTTGGCCAAAATCAGCTCTCCGGCAATGTGCAACCTTCTGAAATAAGGATATTTTAATATCTGTGTTGGATGGAAGATCTTTTATTAATTCACTGAGTGATTGGGCACAACTCAACCACCTCTCTGAACTTTAATTTTCTCCTCTTTCATTTTTATTCTGATATTTAACAAATGCTTCTACAGCATCTACTACACACCAGCCACTCTCCTAAGTGTTTTGTAAACATTAACTGAATTAATCTTCATTCCTACCTTATGAGAAGGGCAGGTTTGTCCCTACTTTATGTATGAGAAAACTGAGACCCAAGGAGGGATTAAAAGTGCATCAAAGGTCACACACATAGTGAGCAACAAAATCAAGATTCAAGTGCTAGACTTTGTTATATTCTCCCCTGTGTTTTTTTTGTGCTGAACTAAATGACATTAACATGCCCATCATTTCTTGTGTGTAAAACACCTGCACAGCCCAGGCACATTCCCTCAACATACTTCCTGAATCTCTTTTTGTCCAGTGAATTTTCTTTTGTATAACCCAATTAGAAAATTATCATATTTATTCCCGAATTTATTTTATGAAACAATGACTCTCCTTTCGTTGGGTATCAATTTTTTAACTTCTCTGTTTTCTAATCACCTCTTCAGTACTAAATACTAAATTTAGTGCAGTGAAAGAGAGACTGTGTCTTCAGGCAGCTCAATAAAATGGGTCCATAGCCTTCGTTGTGGCCATCCTAACTATAGCCTACCTAATCCAGCTAGCTGCTGGCTTTCTGGCTAGTTTAAGTACAAAAAAAACAACAACAAAAAAACAGTTTACCTCTTTGATATGCCAGAAGGAAAGAGAAAAAGAAAGAGAAGAGGGGGTCCAGGGGTCAGCAGGGGACAGGGGAAGAGGAAAAGAGAACTAATTTTACATTTTTACATATAGAATGTTCTATATGAAAATATGAACTTCAAATTTCTAGAATTTACTAATTTTAAGAAAATTTTTAAATTAAAAATGTCAACTAGAGAATGGGCTTCCTAGATTTTAGTGGCTAAACACCCTTCTTCCCTTTGTACTAATGGAAAAGATTTACTTGGCCACTAATATATAACCATGACCAACCAACCAGGTTTTTGGAAAACTGAGACCTTCACAAACTCTAGCTCAGTTGCAGGCCTTACCCAGCCATTGCAGGGCCTGGGCAAAGTACATGTGGAGGCCTCCAATACCATATTTCTAAATATTTAAAAGGTACAAATCAAGCCAACATAGTGTTAACGAAAATAAATTCTACTCTCTGTCCTTGACAAATACACCTTCCTAAGACCAGGATTGAATTTAGGGTTCTCCCCTGCTCTGGAGTTCCGTGCCTGAATGTGGCACAGTGTGGACAGTTGCCTCTGGCCTGACTCCCTCCTCTGCCCACTCCCAGCTCTTTCTTGCATTAGACACAGCTTCTCCCACACACGTGGATACTCCAGCCCACCTGAGGCTTCTCCCCAGCAGCCTCCTCTGTTCACCTCTGAGGTCTAGGAGTGCATGCGACTGGCAGCACCCTTCACCCTCAGCCATGCGGGTTGGAGATGCAGGGATGTGTGTGCGGGCATAGAGGACACCAGAGTCGGGATGTTCTGGGAACAAGGTGAGGCACAGGCTCTGGGTGAACATGTCTCCTCTACCCATTGACTTCCTGTCCCATTGGGAGGGCTGGGACAGGGAATGACAATGGAGGGGCAGAGCAGGTCCTCTGAAATGCAGCTCTCAAGAAGGGGGAAGGGGACCAGGGCAGAGCCTCTCTTGCTGAAAACTGTATTTCTCTGGTAGATCCTCAGTCACCTGCTATGCTATGTGGGATAGAAAGGGTTAGGAGATGATGTAGTAGTAATTAATCTTCCGTGAAGCTGGTCTTTGGCCCTCCTAAAGGGAAAATCCCTCTTTTCTCCCCTTTTGTTAAAATTAAATTAAACTTACGCTTGTACATATTCCACTATTGATTTTATAGTAATAGAATTCTGAAAGAAGGAGGGTAGTGTCATGGGGACACTGAAGGAAACCCTGGAGCACTCACACAGAAGAGCTTAATCATTCACTGAGTTCTAGTGGTCATTTCTGCTCCACCAGGCGCTAAAAGCTGAGGGCTTTTTAGACCTTAAAAATGGGGAACATGTTGGGCCGGTGTGGCTCGGTGGTTGAGTGTTGACCCATGAACCAAAAAGTCATGGTTCAATTCCCAGTCAGAGCACATGCCTGGGTTGCAGGCTCAATCCCCTGTAGGGGGCATGCAAGAAGCAGTTAATCAATGATTCTCTCTCATCATTGATGTTTCTATCTCTCTTTCTTCCTCTCCCTTCCTCTCTGAAATCAATAAAAAGGTATTTTGAAAAAGTGTGTGGGGGGGGGGCACTTTAATGGGATATCCATCAAGATAAGCAAATTTGGACATAGGAAGAGAGGTCAGTCTGCTAGAATCTGTTAGATGATCCCAACTGAGGGCCAGTTGAATTCTATGATGATGGCACCTTCTGTTAGTACATATGCTGCTGCTGCTGTTGATGATGATGATAGTAATGACACTAACATACAATGAGTACCAAGTAGGTGCCAGGCACTGTGCCAAATACATTATATATACTGAATAAAATGTAATATAATTATATATGTTATATAACATACATCTTATGTATATACAACTTACCTATTATATAACATATACAAATGTAATGTAATACAGAAAGTCTTGAAGAAGTGAAGCTTCAAATGGTTCAGTAACTTGGCCTGGAATAATGCATTGGTTGAATGGTTAGTCTTCCTATAGAACCTAAATCTTAACCAGTCTGTTATTACCAATTAGTGCTTTATAAAAATAGGCAAGTTGGCGGAATTCCAGCCAAAGATATACTCAGCCATAACTACGTAATGATATCTTTACCTAGTATCTGATGAAAGCTTTAGGCATGCTGAACTGAATGAAGAGAGATGGCCTGAGGGAGACACCACCTAGAAAGCAATTGCCATATACACTTGGACCAAAGCCTGGGGAAAGAAAGCTTTGAGAATTTCCTTAACCAGGGTGAGGGCCAGGGCCAGGGTCAGGGGTATAACTTAAAAGGTAGGCCTTGTGCTGCTACTGGGTGGAAGTGCAATGGACCAGAGATGGTGACTGGATGCTATAGTCCAAACTTAGCAGATTTTGGAAGCATGGAGAATGTCCTCATTCCTAAGACTGTCCCAATAAAAATCTTAGAGGAGCTTGGTCTAGGGTTCAGTTAAGAAAGTAATGGATAAATCACATCCACAAGACTGGATCCAAGAGATGGATTCAAGAAGAGGTTGTGAGAGGGCAATTCTTAACTCGTTTTTTGTTAAGACCAAGAAAAACTAAGGTCTTGAAGAGTTCTTATGATTCTTTAAGTCCCCATCTTTGCTTTCCATAACCATTTCCCTGAAATTGAATCTTGTAGAATGATTTGAAAAATGAAGAGATTTGTTCTCTTGTTCTGAGAAAAAAAATAGGAGTCTGGTGGAAGTAGAAAAGAGAAGGCTGATTGGGCAAAGTAGGGGAGGAAAGGGAAGAGGAAGAGAAGAACCCAAGTAGAAAAATAGTTGGTGATTGTGCAAAAGCAAATGTGTTACTTTTCATGGGCCTGCAGGAGAAAGAAAGTAAAACTGGTTCTAAGAATGGGAAGAGACCTTGGAATTAATTGTGTATGCCCGGACACCTCTTCCGTCCCAGTACTGGTGCTGAGTTACCAGTGGTCCCCTGCTCCATGCTGAAGGCTTACCTGAGTGATGGGGATTGAGGCTGGGAAGGGTCCATATCCCTCCACCATAAACACAGAAATTGTACCTTCCAAATTAGAACTTAGGATAGTGAATGCCTACTGTTTTTCAAAATTCTGTTTTTATCATATATAAATTTTACTTAAAGGGAAGCACTGTAAATAAACAAATATTGAATTTAAATACTTCAGCAGGCATAGCCTTAGAGGTAATGTTGTAGAATGACTTGTACTAAAGTATACTAATATCTTGTACTAAAGTGTACTAATGTGAAATGCATCAAAATATTAAGATATATTAATGGAGGAACAGAGCCCGGCTGGTGTGGCATCGACCTATGAACGAGGAGGTCATGGTTCAATTTCTGGTCAGGGCACATGCCTGGGTACTGGCTCGATCCCCATTGAGGGTGTGTGAGCAGGAGGTAGCCAATCAATGATTCTCTCTCATCATTGATGTTTCTCTCTCTCTCTCTCCCTCTCCCTTCCTCTCTCTGAAATCAATTTAAAAAAACATATTAAAAGCAATAAAATTTTTTTTAAATGGAGGAACAGAGGGGTAGATAGTTGGATATGGTATATATAATCAAACAAGGATAGTAAAATATTACTTCTAGGGTCTCAGTTATTGTTATATGGGTATTCACAACTTTTCATTCTTTCTGCATATTTGTAAATTTTCATAAGAAACTATTGAAAGATTTTCTTACTGGAGAAAGGAAGCTCTTTAAAAAGACAGTATACAGACACAAGATTTTCAACCTTTTTGATCATGCCATTTAAAAAAAGAAGCTCACTGAATAATGAGATTGCTCTCTTTTATTTTTACCCATTTCTTTTGTCTCACCTTCCTTTTTCTCTTTGACAGTCTAGTATAGCACAAATATTGGTACATCATAAAGGCATGTTTCGTTACTCCATACTTGAAACTTAGGGGGAAATATACTATATGCCATTGGTCTTGTAACATATGCTAATTAGAAAAATCCCATATCAACTATGAATATTCCAGTTGACTATGTGAAATACATCTATTCACCACAGTACTTATTAACTAATTAACAAATATTAAGTA